ATATTATGATATAGACACGAAGCTTCAAAGTCCTTCCTCTGCGATTATCTTATACTCTTTATTAGGTTATTTAGCTTGAGTCCTGCTATTTTAGAAAGATCAAGAAAAACCGACACTGGATACTGAAGACTACACAAGAGCAGCTCCAAGATACTGGAGCCTACACAAGAGACTGTAGATGGGAGATCGCTCTTACAGCTCACAATCTCTTTGTAAGTGCGAGTGCCTCTTAATTTGTCCTACTCATGAAAAAGTCTCCTCAGACCTGCTTGTTTGACAAGTTCTTCTGCTAAACAATTTTTTTCTATATGTCTGTGACCAGGGACGGATCGAGCTTTGATCCGTCCGTATGGTTTTATCTCAAGAGTTGTGGACTGTCCAAATCGTTGATTACTTCACCCGGCTTAATACTCTTAGATGAAAAGCTGGTAGTGCTGCTATCTACTAATTTATTAGGTTCCAGTGTAAACGTGTTGATGATTACACTTCGGGCATAATGTGGCGTAGTTCAGAGGTTAACGGTTTTCGCAGATGACCTTATGGCCACGGCCATCCCATACAAAAGTATATTGATCTTACTTCATGTACTCAAGCCGAGTAATGCCTTTTCTTATCTTTTTAACCATATAAGCTTTCAAGAAGAGTCCCTTATCTAGAACTATGAAATGTAATCTAAATGTGATAAGCTAAATTGATTTTCGGCCGATTTGCTACCGAAATTTTGGCTTATTTTCCAGGTCTAGACTAACATCATTCAGAGTTGACTCTTTCATTATCAGCAATTATATAATATAATACATCAATCTTTGTGAAGAGAACAAGCTCCTCATTATTTCCGATTAACCATTTCGATATTCTTCGCTGAATCTTCTGAATCTAGCTGCACAGAGTTTATGGGAAGATTTGATCTAAGAGCTAATGTAATATCATCGGCGTAGGCAATGGTTCTTTCTTCGTACTAATCAGTTTCGGTCAGAAGGGTGTCAATCTTTAAATTCTAGGGCCAAAGCTCTTCCACTATTTACGTAAGTGAATGCCTGAAGTACTCTGCCCTCCAAGGCGAGAATAACAGCATCCGGTAAAATTCTGTTGAAAGCTACCTTCATTCGTTGGCAACAACTTTGCAGTTTTTGGTCTTGGACTCATCTTAAACCAGTGTTGGGAATGATTTCCACATTTCACTATGCGATTTAACCATCAAATTGGTATCTACAATAAGCCTCATAAGAGCCTCATAAGACCACCCGTTGGAGTTGTTGGGAAAAAGAATCTGTCTGTAATCAGCCCGTCATTGCTTGGCGATTTCAATTCCAGCGTTGGCAAAATAAAAACTTCTTACTCAGTGACAGAACATTCATAAAGAGGCTGAGGCTGATCCTTTTCACCGGTGCCTCTTTGGTTGTATGGTCTTTTTTTAATCAAAATTATATTATTTACTTACTTACTTTACAGCCGTAGACACCGCCTATTCGATTATAGCCGAGTGGACAACATTGCGCCATTCACTTCTTCTCTTCGCTGTTTGGCGCCAACCGCAGCTACCAAATACAGCCAGGTCACTCTCTGTCTCTCTGAGCTATGTCAATGTCGCCGTAAATCTTACGCAAAACCTTTCTCTCGTCATTCCTAACGTCAACTCATCAGATGTTCTCATCGTCCATACCTCCGCACCATATAGTAGAACGTGAACGATGAGCGACTTAAAGAATTTGGTCTACGTTCAACGAGAGAGGATTTCACCTTTCAATTTCCAACTCTGCCCAAAATAGCACCTATAACCAAGAATGATTCTGCGTTGGATTTCCAGGCTGACATTGCTTTTGGCGTTAATACTGGTTTCAAGATAGACGAAGCTATCTACGACTTCAAAGTTATAACTGTCCAGAGTGACGTGGGAGCCAAGTCGCAAATGCGATGACTGCTTGTTTGATGTATCTCCTGTCTCTTCTGTTATCGTTTCATTTCGTATTTTACCAGACACATTTCCTTCGCTTCCTTAACAAGTCTTGATTAAGCAAAACTCAAAGATTATTGAGAACAATAATGACAATATAATTGGCGTACGCCGGCAGCTGTGCTCTCTTATAGAAGATTGTACCTTCTTTATTTAGCTCTGCAGCTCGTTTGATTTTCTCCAGCAATAAGTTAAAAAAGTCACACGATAAGAAATCACAATGTCTGAAACTTTTTTCGTATCGAACGGCTTGGTGAGGTCCTTGCCGATCCACACGAAGCTTTTAGTATTGCTTAAGATCAATTTACATAGCTGTATAAGTTTTGTGGGGATACCCAATTCAGATATAGCGCCGTAAGGGCAGCTCTTATTCGTGCTGTCGAAGGCTGCTGTAAAACCGTCGAAGAGGTGGTGTGTGTCGAGCCACTTTTCCTGGGTAATCAATCTGATCAATGTTTGTCTTACCAGGTCTAAAGCCACACTGATAAGGTCCAATCAGTTTGTGGACGGTGGGCTTTATTCTTTCACATAAAACCCTAGATAGAACCTTATGGGCGTTACCAAGGAGGCATATTCCACCGTAATTAGCGCAGATCGCCTTTTTTATGGAATGGACAAAGCAAACTTAGGTTCCAATCATCGGGCATGCATTTTGCAATAAAACTGATGCAATTCTTCCTTTGTCGCACCTCACCACCATGTTTGAATAGCTCTGCCGGCAGGCTGTTGTTCTTTAAGCGGGCAATCGAACCTCGTCAATGTCGGATAGTGGAACATTTCTTCCATCGTCATCGATACGGATTTTGGTTATTTCATTTTCACTGCCATTCAGCAGGCTGGATGAGTGTTCTCTACATAAATTCAGTATGTTCTGGGCATCCATCTTTAGATCACCGCTCTAGGTCCTACAAAAGAGTCGGCGCCATTCGATTGCTTTCCGAATTTCTTCATAGACGAGCAACGTTACAACGTTTTCATTTGGGGCATCGAACTATGGTCCACAAATGTTTGCCGAATACTTACCGTTAAACAAATATAAGATATTCCGTATTAAAGACAAATGTACGCAGAGAATTTTCTGTTAACTTTTTACTACAATATAATTTATTTAAAACTAATTTTTATAAGTATTATCTACGTTTCATATAATTATTCATGTTATTTGTATTGTTTTTGTTTTAAAGAACTTCTAACGATTTTTTATATTTCCCTTTACATTTTCCTTCTGATTTTGTTTTATTCATTTCATATTGTTTTTAAATATTTAATACATATACATATATATTTAACGCCCTGTTTCACAAGTCAGACCTTTCCATTGGGTTTATTTAACATTTACAATTTTGTATTTATATATATATATATATTTTTTTTATTTTTTAGTTTTTGCTTTATACACAAGTAAGTTAGGTCAATATGAGTAATTATTTTCAATTTTTATGTAATTCATTTCAACATTTGCACATTATTTAAAGTTTTTTTTTTTTTCTTTTTTGAAGGTTTTCAGTTTTCAGTTTTCAGTTTTCAGTTTTCAGTTTTGAGTTGTGAGTTGTGAGTTTTGGGTTTTGAGTTTTGAGTTGTGAGTTTTGGGTTTTGAGTTGTGAGTTTTGGGTTTTGAGTTGTGAGTTTTGGGTTTTGAGTTTAGAGTTTTGGGTTTTGAGTTGTGAGTTTTGGGTTTTAGGTTTTCAGTTTTGAGTTGTGAGTTGTGAGTTTTGGGTTTTCAGTTTTCAGTTTTGAGTTTTGAGTTGTGAGTTTTGGGTTTTGAGTTGTGAATTTTGGGTTTTGAGTTGTGAGTTGTGAGTTTTGGGTTTTGAGTTTTGAGTTTTGAGTTTTGAGTTTTGAGTTTTGAGTTTTGAGTTTTGAGTTTTGAGTTTTGAGTTTTGAGTTTATGGTTTGGGTTTACGATTTTTATTGTTTCATACAGTTGTTGTTTGTTTTTTGGATTTTGTTAAAGGATTCTTTGTTTTTCTTTCTTTTACGTCAGAGTTTCACTACAAATACAATACAATTACAATTACAATTATTATTATTATTAATTACATAATTATCATTACAAATACAGTTATGTTAAATGGGGGTTTTTTATGTATAAAAATAATATCATTTCTTCCTTTCAAACTTCCTCATTCGTCATATAATTAGATACATACATATATTTAGTGTGATGATTGATAGCACGATTTGTAGATTTATGAAATTGACAGAACGTAAAATTGCGTAAGAGACACATAAACTTAAAATTATTAGAGAAATTTAAAGCGTTTTTAAATCGGAAAAAACAATTAAAATTAAAAAGTCGCCAAAAAAACATATCAAGAAAATTCAATTAAATTTAATATTTTTCAGTTTTCTCGGTATTGCTCTCCGATGAATAATTTTGGTTCGTTTATTAAAATAATTTAGATATTAATTATTTTCGAATTTCACTTAAAAAGCACCTTTCCTTTTTGGAAAACTTGAAAATGTCTACAAAACACTTTGACTGCATGAATTAATAAGACATTTCATTACTTTTACATTTAAATTCATATCGACAACAATAAAAACAAATTTTAGGCTAATTTACATACATAAATGTGTGTAGGATTTCAAACAAATGCCAGCTAAAAAATTCATATTAAAGCGATTAAACGTATATTTTATGCTAAGGAAATAAGTGTGGTTTCAATAAGTGATGTGCGTTAAATCAAATATATGCAATTTTAATTTAAATTTAATAAAATTACAACAAAATTACCTAACCATTTCTTCAATTGCCGAATTCAACACAAAAACGTAGCAATTTTTCACGCCTTACAATAAATTTCAAATCGATTTTCAACCAAAAAAAAATTTAAAAAAAAAATGCAAAAAAAATGCCAAAAAAAATAAACAAAAAAAAGCAACACAAAAAAATTCAAAAATAGTGCAAGTGTTTAAAAAATGTTTAAAATAATTTTAAAAATAATTGTTTATTGTTGTTAATGTTGTTGTTGTTATTGTTGCATGCGCGGTTGTTTTGTTTGTTATAATTTTTATATATATTTTCATTTTTATTTGTCATTTTCATTTTCATTATCATTTCCATTTTTATTTTTATTTTTATTTTTATTTTTATTTTTGGTTTTGGTTTTCTTCTATTTGTTCCCACCCTCCCACACATTAGCCCCATCTATTTCATTTCGTTCGCCCGTTGTTGTTGCTGACGCAGTTTCGCTCGCGCATTCAAATATTCAGGATTCACATATTGTTTATCCTCCTCATCGTCGCCACCCTCTTGGCGTTCGTGCTTTTGCGCACGCTCCATTATCACACGATTCAGTTCAGCTTTAAGGCCGGCGGTGGGTGAGAGATCCTCCTGTTGTTGTTGGCGTTGTTGCCGTTCGCGTTGCTTTTCGTATGCACGCTGTAGTTCGGTTTTTTGATTCAGCACACTTTTACCACTGTGAGAGAAGAGAGAGAGAGAGAGAGAAAAAGAGTTAGAAGATGAGAATTAGTTCACTGCAGGTTCTTCATTTCAAAGCAGGCTACAGTAATAATAAATCAATTAATAATTTAAAAAATACTAATCTATTTTATGGAACGGCGTTAGAGGGGAGCTCTCTTTGAGTTTACTTGAATTTTCAAAATTGAATTTTTGCAGCTTTTTTCTTCTTCTTCTCTGTATTTGACATCACCAATACGTTTTTAGACGCATCAACACCAGCACAGGCCTATCGTTTATCCTATTTTCATTTCTGAGTGCATTGCAGACTGCAAGAGAAGTCGTGTAATTCTCCAACTTATTCTTCCGATGGAACGAGATCTTCTTCTGCTCTCAATACACCGTGTTCTTCGCTCATCCGAGGCACTTAATCCAGATAGCGTACCTGGTGTGTCTTAATTCGCTGAAATTAGTTCGTGTAACAGGCGCGGCGACCGACTGGTGTGTGTGTGGAACCGAGTTTTGGCTAGACTAACAGACGGCCACGGTCGCCGAGAATGTCTACCCATTCGAAAGTAATTCTGACATGAAATAAAGGCTCCTCATAAAAAACACACCAACCATTCGGAGGCATCTTATAACAACCTGTAGACCCCTTCATTTGTTGGAAAAACATCAAGACTCACACCAGAAATCGAAGAAGGAGCGGGAAAACGAATTTGTCTAACTTAAGTCGTTCTCGGTAGGGAATGTCCATAGTACCTGAGAGTTTTTTTTTTGGCATAGAATAAAAGCTCTTCATAGAAAGCCATTAGCCGTTTGGAGGTGGCTCAGAGAAAAAAAATTGTAGGTATCGCCATTTGTCGGGAAAAAGAATAAAACGTCATCAGAAATTGACTCCTTCATATGCGACCGGTAGTAGATGCCGAATATATAAAGATTTATATGTCTATGCATATGACAAGTCATTCTTCTACGCAGATTACCACTCCTCCTCCCCAAAACATTTCCCTCGAGAACTAAATGTTAGAACGGCTCATCATATTTTGTACAATAATTTTCCTATGAACCATAGAGAAGGTCAGGAATGATGAGTGACTTGTGGAGTTTGATCTTTGTTGATCGAAATTGGACTAAAACTCTTCATTGACTACTCAGTCATCTGTTGGCAAAAGGGATTCTGCGTTGGACTTCTAAGCTGGCATTGCTGTTGATGTAGATGCTGGTTCCGCCATCGATATCAACGGCATGTGCCAACAATTGCAAGCTCTTGAAAGAAAGTCCTCTTGTCTTCGTCGCGCATGATTTCCATGAATCATTTTCTGCAAAGAAGTTAATGTAAGCACCCACTTTGTAAGCTCTTCATATTTCTTCTCCATTATTATACATGAAAAGTCACTTAAGCAAGTTTAGAAAGTGGTCCCTACAAAAATCGTACATAAGTTATCAGAATGCTTTTATCATTTCTACAACGCAGCTCCTCTAGTTTCTCTGTTTTTCCACCCCTGGAAAGTTCAATGGACGGACTTTCACTTTATTCTCAAGTACCTCCGAATAGCTGATGGATTTTTGTGAGGAGCTTTGATTTTCATATCAGTAATACATATAGAGGGCATGGCAATCCCTGTTTTCCTATTTTAGATTTCGATATATGGCTAACACGGCACGTCTTTGGTTTGCCGCAATGTTGTGAGATAAGCAGTCGTCTTTGTCGCTACTGTTGTTCCACTATATCAGGTTGCTGAGGAGAGTTCACAGGTTGCTGAGGAGTGCAAATCTAGTAGGCAAACGGCTGGCTAACTGCAGTGATTGGCAACTTCTCAACCTTCTTCGTGATTATAGACGTGCATTCCTCGCTGAAAGAGTGCGTAACTTGGTTCAGGCAAGACAAAGGTTTGAGTCGACGCTGGAACTTCGAAGCGTGCGACTATCGATTTTGTTTCGATTTATCCGTTCCGGTGGCAGTCAAGTGGCATGATGGGCTTTTTGATTGAATTAAATTTAGCTTTACAGGTTTCGGGCCAAACCTCAGAGGATCGACCTCACACATACTGTGTGGTGAGATCTCTTCGTGGATTTTTTATACTTTTTATATTATTTTAACAAAACCACATATTCTTTATTTGTAAAAGTAAAAATATTGCATTTTTTTTCTACTCACATTTTATTATTAAATTTCAACTCCCGATGCAGTTGCTGTCGTTCGTTGGACTCTAAACATGGATTTATCAATTTCCGTGGCAATATAAGGCCGTCGGCATCTTTTTGTACTGTCGGCGGTGGCGACGACATCATCATCGTTATTGTTGTTGTGGTGCGCTCGTTCGCTGCAAATGCGTTTCTAATCGCTTGACGCTTATGCTCAAACCAATCTTGTCCAGCAGCAGCCGAAATGGATTCAGCTTCACGTAGTATAATCCTTTCCGCTGTTGTTGTTGTTGTTGATGTTGTGGATGAGATGGAGGATGCTGATAGCTTTATTGGTGAATATTGAGTTGTTGTTGACGCAGATGTTACCGTTGTTGAACGCTTGGTCGGACTGTCAGTGGTGGTGGTGGCCGTAGAATCTGTGCCTGGAAGAAAGTGTAAGAAATTGTGAAGAGAAAATTAAGTTGTGTTTTTGCAGAAAAAATTCTTTTATATATCAATAACGGTAAATGAGCGTATAAAAGCGGCTCTTACTTTTGTAGCTTCATTAAATTCTAGAGACGTTAAGGGTATGCGGCAGTGTTCAGCTAAATGGTAAAACAGCAACAAAAATTATTATCTTTGCAGTCGCTGTCTGTCTGTCTGTCTATCTGTCTGTCTGTATGTTCGAATGTACTTAACTACACGACGAGACATAAGCAAGAAAGCGAAATAGTGCCAGTGACCGAGTGTCTTGAGAAAGAGCACAACAAGCGCAACTAATCAATATTGGAGTCAATGATTTATGACAAAAGCGAGACGCGGCGAGCAAAGCGCAAATGTAACAATTGGCAGTTTTCTTATTTAATTTGGTGTCATTCGAATGTCTTCGCGTGTTTTTCAAATTTTCATTATTTTTTCATTTTTTATTTAATTTTTTTTTTTTTAATTTTTTTTTTTTTTTTTTTTGTTTTACTTTTATTTATATTTTCATTTGTATTTACAATGTTCATCATGTTCAGAAGCCAATTGCCATCACTTGCCGTTCAATGGCCTACAACAATAGCCAATTGTGCGATGGTGGAGGAACAACTGCTGGCTAATTGTAGGCCGGTGACCATGGGCTTGTAGAGATTAAAGTGTAATGCCGTCGCACAATCATACATACATACATTTAACGTATTGTATATGCGCCCGAATAAAAATATTTTCATTAAGAGCTCTTATTGCTCGCAAATATTTATTTCTAAGAAAAATTTGAAGTTCAAAGTAAAGCCAAATAAACGAACCAAAAATATATGAGAGAAATTCAATATGTCAAGCTAAAGCAATTTAAAAAAAAAAAAACAAATAAAAAAAAATTATCAGGTATACAACTTTGCTTCCGCCGTTTTTTCCAAAATTAAAAGCTTTATTGCTTACAGTTATTTTATTCAAAGTATTGTCCTTCGCTAGCGACAACTTTCTACCATCTTTTCGGCAATTTTCGGATCCCGGCTCGAAAAAGGAGGCCTCTTTTGACGCTATCCATGAAGCAATCCATTTTTCCAATTCTTCGAAGGATTGAAAATGTTGATCTGCCAGGCTGTGTGCCATCGAACGGAATAGGTGGAAGTCAGAAGGGGAGACATCTGGGGATTACGGAGGGTGGGGCAAGACTTCCCATTTCAGCGTTTCCAGGTACTTTTTGACCACTTTTGCGACGTGAGGCCGAGCATTGTCGTGTTGGAGGATGACTTTGTCATGTCGCTCTTGATATTGTGGCCGCTTTTCTTTTTACGCGCGACTAAGGCGCATCAGTTGCGTTCAGTAGCGATCTCCTGTGATGGTTTCATCCGGTCTTAAGAGCAATGCTTCTAGTTGTTCATCTCTGAAGGTTTTTTCTCTTCCACCACCACGTTTGTCTTCAACATCGAAATCACCATTTTTAAAACGTTGAAACCACTCGTCGGGAGTGTTCTTTCACTCAGAGCAGCATCACCGTAAGTTTCTGAGAGCATTCGATGCGCTTTAGCTGCATTTTTTTTTCGAATTGTAACAGAAAAGTAAAACTTCCTGCAAATGGCGAGAATTAGTCACATAAACGGACACTTTCGAGCGTGAATAATACGAAAACAAGAACAACTGTCACTGAAACGGCGATGACAATTCGTTAGGCACTGTCCACACTCACTTTAAAGGCATTATCATCTATGTATTTCAACCAGCCTCAGCCGGTACAGCCACCTATCGGAAAACGGCGGAAGCAAAGTTGTACCAGATTTCTTCGTGTGTCCCAGATCACTACTTAATATGCAGCCATGGCATTCGAACCCAATTCATTAGCAAATATTTCTTGTGTAAATTGTGGATCTTCGTCAATTTTTTACTTCACCAAACGATGCACCCGTTCCATATGCAATTTGTCATCCACTTAATATATTTACTGTCTATAAATTACGTCAAAACCCGTAGAGAATCACATGGCGAATTTCTCTTTGCGTTGGCGGTGGAACAAGATCCGTTACCCGAAATCGTATGGAAGTTGCCTGCTTCGTCAAGAGCCAAGAGACGCAGCCGGCTGAAGTATTGAAAACTAGCGGCGATGAACAGGAAGGCGTATGCAGCTCTGCATAATTTGGCCAGATAAAAGCATGCCCGAAGTTTGGAACCTACATGTGTGCTTTGCTCACACCATAAGAGCAGATAGTATCTTACAGTTTGCGCCAATTATCGTGGAATAAGTCTCTTTAATATTGCATACAAGTTGTATGGATGAAAGATTAAAACCGACCGTCGACGGCTTTGGGAGTGTGGCTTTCGATCAGTCATATCTGTCGTTGAACAGATATTGCTATGCGTCGAATTGTTAGTTTCAAAGCCTTATCACTCCTGCCAATAGGTCCATTTTTGGATTGAGTAGGAAAGAAAAGTCCTCTCTCAAAATCTAAACCTCCAATTCCTTTCTATTTTGTGATGAAGTTGTGGACACTATCTTGTCATTGTTGTTGTTGTAGCGGTAACGCTGTTTAGTAGCAGGCAAGATCAGTCTAAGTCATGAAGGTCTTATTAGGGGATGGTTCAGGAAACTAATTGTTTCGACGCGGCACTCTCGAGGCAACTCTTCGTCGGGAATTGATGGTTATTTGACTCTGAGGACGACGTATTCACTGAAAAATAGTTCAAAAAGGTGTTAAGAGAATGGCGGTTGAAGCCTGTGCATAAGCCGTTCAGTCCAGTGGTTCTTGTAAGTGGTGCTGAACGCAGGCCTTGTAGTCAAATACTCCCTGCCTGATGTACCTTAATGGTGGCTCGGCTTCAAGTAAGTGTCTATTGGGGTGCTTCTTTCGGTAGCGTCACAGCAGATATTGCATGCACTATGCTCTGCCAACATTAGAAAGTTACCTGTCAAGGTTTTGGGAGCGGTAGGCTTTTAGGTTCTCAATCTGCGGGTCGCCATTGCCGGTCCGTACAGCATGGCTTACGACCAGCCGGGCAATGCCTTTGTATATCGTCAGCAACGTTTGTCTGTCTTTTCCTCAGGTGCCGCCGGCTAATGCTTTGAGCATTTGGACACTATCTGATGAGTCGGTTGTGGGAGTTTTTTTTCTAGAGAAAAGAGGCCTTCGGTGTCTACACCAATGAGCTGGGCTGTACGAGATATGTTTCTGACGACTTGACATACTTCAGAGAACTAAGGCATAGAAGACTTAAATAAGCTTACAAAATACCTAAACAGATAAGTTAATGTGCAAAGAGATAACTTAACCAAAGAACGAAAAAAGCCAAAATAGAAATCAAAACAACAAAATACTATTCTCAACAAAAGCACTCCACAACCTCGCAGTGCAACAACTGACTATCCACATTTGCCGCAAACACAAAAGTCAAACATTCTTCTGGGCCTATCTCGTAGATTAAGGTTAATAACAGAAATTGCTGCGAGAGGCGCGTAAAGCAAAACTGAAACTAAACCACAGAACAAAAGAAAATTACAAACTGCGAGTACTGGGCCAAATATTTGTGGCATTCCGTACTTAAAAAAAAAAACTGTCTCAAAAGCCTCGCGTTGACGTTTATGGTGCGAGAATGCGGCGCGAATTTCGAATTTCTTTGACGATCACTCGAGGTACGTACGTACATACACAATAATTGCTGGCACTGATACGAGTATAATGCAGCTAATGGCATAAATGTATAAAAAAAACAACAAGCTTCTTAGACAAACTAAGCAAAACCTCGAAAAATACGTATATAAGTGCCGGTGTGTGTGTGCATAGTGTCATGGCCCGTGAAGCACTTTCTTTTTCAGCCTCATCATTTCCAACAACCAAGTGAAGACGCAGACACCAATGTGCCATTTGACGGTTGTGGCAATACCGGTAGACACCACCACAGCAGTCACAACAATAACAATAGAGACAACCCGAAAAAAAGGCAGCAACGTCAAAGAATTGTTGCCACCATATTCTATAGAGATTGCAGATATCATATTAACCCATATTTTCACGCATCAAATTAATGCCGCAGAGGCGCACAAAAGAATGCCGTCGCTAACATGAATTGAGGTGCCAAGACAGTCGCCAAGTTAGGGAGGCACCAGCGCATGGAAGGCATGCAAAGAAACACAACAAAATTTGCTAGAATTTTAAAATTACTTATTTCATGCCTTTCACGCATTGGAAATGCGTCTTGTAACGCGTTGCTCTTTCATGACTTTGCCGTCCGCTTCTGCAAACTATTTTAATACAACGTACTTACATATACGTGTATACCCTACATGCATAGCAAGTGGCTTTATAAGCTCTTCGCCAAAACCAACATAAATTAGACGAGCTGCTCTAATGTTACCTGTTGACCTAAACGAGGTTAAATCGCCGAAAGGATGACAGCCCTTGGCCGGATAAAATTCGTGTCAACTCCGGTACGTAGAACCGGCTCTCTTAAGAGTTGCTTTAAATAACCCAAAGATATTGGGCATAAAACTAGACAGATTGCACTCCTTCACTCCGCATACGACCGCAATTGCCGCAAAACTCCAGAGCCGCAGCAAAATACTCAAAACGCTAGCCGGCAGCACCTGGGGTAAAGACAAAGAAACTTTGCTGGCAACTTACAAAGCAATTGGTCGGCCGGTCGTAAGCTATGCTGCTCCGATGTGGGCGCCGGGGACGAACGAGACGTAGATGAAGAAGCTACAGGCTTGCCGGAACACCGTCCTCAGCATTGCGACAGGAAACCACCTTACGTCGCCGGAGCATCACTTGCACAGTGAAACATCTATGCTACGAGTTAAGGAGCTTAATGCTTTGCTGTGCAAGCAGTTCCTATTGGGGTGCTCCCTGCAGTAGCATCCCAATAGGCACCTAATAGAAACTGAACCTCTACCTAGGCACATCAGAAAGGGAGTACTAGATCTAAAAGACACAATCCAGCAACATGTGCAACAACCGCTGGATGGGACGGC